AAAGCAACGTGGAATCTTACGTCGTAACCAACTACGATAACCTGGCAGAACTCATTAGTGCTACGAGCTGGTCCTTCTTAACTGAGTGGTCCCCAGAAGTGGCATGCGGGAAATTTGTCAACAAATTCAACACGCTCGTAGCATTGGCATCTAAAACCAAAATCCCCCGACCCGACAAGGCGAAGTCGTTTCTCAGAAGCAGGACCCGGAAATGCATGGGATTGAGGGATCTGGCATGGCGCGCCCATATAGCCTCTCCGAGCGAGGATACTTGGAACACCTATATTACACAAAGAAACCACTGTGTCACACTCGTCAGGGAGGATAAGGTAAAGAGCCAACAAGATCTTGTGTCAAAGTTCTGCGTTAACCCAAAGCTACTATACAGACACATAAATAAGCTTCGCCGCGTTAAGCGCGGAATTCCGGCTCTGCGCACAGCTTTCGGATTAGCACATACGGCACAGGATGCGGCGAACGTCCTAGGACAACACTTCGGCCGCACTTTCCAGTGTGTGCAAACATCCTGCACCATATCTAGGCAACTTATTCCGCCATCAGGCCTTAACCACATTTCCTTCACAACTGCAGCTGTATTGAAGCGGTTGATGTCGTTGCGCGAATTTAGCTCCCCGGGTGCGGACGGCATTCGGCCGAAAGCGCTGAAAGTTTCCGCCACGAGCTTAGCTGAACCTTTGGCGACACTCTTTCAGCGATGCCTTAACGAGATGCACGTCCCAACGATGTGGAAGCACGGGATCATCACTCCAATCCACAAAAATGGTAGCCGTGCAGATCCAACTAATTATCGTCCGATTACCCTTCTTCCGGTAATCTCCAAGATCATGGAGTCCATTGTAGCCGAGGCCCTCATGGAGTACCTGGAGAAAAACAACATCCTCGTTCCGGAGCAGCACGGATTTCGCCAAGGCAGGTCCTGCACAACTAATTTGCTGATTGCTCGTTCAAACTGGACAGAGTCTGTGGACGCCGAAGTCGGAGTGGATGTAGCCTACTTGGACTTCTCTAAGGCATTCGACCGACTGGACCATCGGATTTTACTGAACAAGCTGCAGCATTGTGGTATCGGCAATCCTATTCTAGGATGGATAGGCGAATTTCTCGTTCAACGTCACCTGAATGTGAGAGTCCGAAATACCCTGTCGGAACCAATCGAAGTTCAGTGTGGCGTACCTCAGGGCTCGGTACTCGGGCCTCGCTTGTTCATTGTTTTCATAAATGATCTTGCAGCTGCACTATCTTCCAACTTTCTGCTGTTTGCAGATGACCTAAAGATATGGCGTGCCATAGCTTCAGGAGAGGATCACACAGCCTTGCAGGATGATTTGGACAAAGCATACAAGTGGTCAAACGAGAACATGCTACAGTTCAACACCACAAAGTGCAAAATCTTGAGCATACGCCATCAGAGTGCGTATAACTACCGCTTAGGACCTGACATTCTACAGCGGACCTCTCATGAGTGCGATCTTGGCGTGCTTGTACAAGAAGATCTTGGGTGCTTAATGCAGACCGAAAAGGCCTCCAAGAGAGCAAACCAACACTTTGGCCTTCTGCGTAGAGCGTTTGGGAAGTTTGACGCCTCAATCTTTCCGAAAATGCTTAGCGCTTTTGTTAGACCGCACACAGAATACGCTATTCAAGCGTGGCAACCATGGCAGAAGTGCCACCTCACTGCACTCGATACTGCACAACGCAGAGCGACAAAATACGTCAAAGGTCTTTCCAGCCTTCCCTACCCACTCAGGCTGAAAACTCTTAACTTATACAGTGGACGTTACCGTCGTTTGAGAGGCGATCTCATATTGGTGTACCGGATACTGAGAACCCCCAACCACACGTGTCATTCCCTTTTGAAACGTAGTCAAAACGCATCCCTAAGAGGTCATCAGTTTAAGTTGATCACACAGTACAGTCGACTGGAATGTCGACGCAATTTCTTCTCCCTCCGAGTGTCACAACCTTGGAACGCCCTTCCAGAACATGTAATTAACGCTCCCACCCTATCCCTTTTCAAAAAT